GGGGGGGGGGGAGGGGGGCATCGGGCGGCCGGGCGGACCGGCAAGCGCCATCCCGTCACAGGGTCACTACATTGGGCGAGGGGCCAGGCATGCAGTACCGGGCATTTGCCCGGACTGGGGGCCGCGAGCAAGGCGGCGGAGGGAGGCGGAGGGGAGCGAATCGCTGCGCACCAGAAAGTCAACTGGGCCATCGGCCGCGAGGAAGAAAGGCTCGAGAGCCGCGAGGCCCGGCGATCGACCAGCTCGGTGCCCACGTCGGAGTCGCCGCTGTTGTAGATGACCACGGCCGGGGCGCCGGCCATGTCCATGGAGGCCCCGGCGGCGGGGGGCGGCGAGGCACGCGCCTCCGGGACCGCCGCCGCCGCCGCCGCCGCCGCCGGCCCCAGGTCATTGGTCAGGGGAAAGGGCGACCCCTGGGGCGTGGGCGGCGGCGAGGCCGGAGTGGACACCGGGTGCTCCGGCAGCCCGGGCGACCCGGCCTTGGAGCCGGCGGCCGAAGTCCCCCCAGCGGCGGGGGCCTTGGTCGGGGGCTCCGGAGCTGGCCCATCGCCGGGGGAGCCGCCCGCCAGGCCGGCCCCCGCGAGACGGGCCTCCAATTCGCGAAGCATGCGCGCCTCGGCGTGGGCATGCTCACTCGAGGCGGGCAGGGCCTCCTCGCTGTTGCTGCTGCTGTTGCCGCCGCTGGACGAGGGGCCCGACGCACTGCGTGTCAGGGGCCCAGCCGGGCCGACATGCTGGATGTCCGACGGCTGGAGGCCGGGCGACGAGCCGCCGGAGTTGGACCGGCTGAAGAGCCCGAGCACGCCGCCGCGCTTTTTCGACGGACTGGCGGTGAGGCCGGGGGCGGCCGGGCTGCCGGATGCCGACAGCTCGGCCAGGCGCGCCCCGGCCGCCGGGCCGAACGATCCGGCCACCATGCCGGCGCCGGGGGCCGGCTGCCGGGCCTTCGCCCGGCAGGCGTTCATCACCACCAGGACATCCACGCCGATGGAGTTGAGGAAGCGCGCGGCCAGGCTCTCCGAGCGCGGCCCGGAGGTGGCGGAGGACGAGGAGGCGGCGGCGGCGGCGGCGGCGGCCCCCGCCGGGCCGGCCAGCGGGTCGAGGAAGCTCTGCAGCACATACGACGCATGGGAGGCCGCCGCATGGCCGCCGGCCTCGATGATGCTCATTCGCTCGCGGCCCCGGAGCGATGGGTGCCCCTGGGTGCCGATGATGGACCGCTCGGCCGCCGAGCAGGCGGACAGCTGCGCCGACAGGACGGCCGGCAGCAGCCGCGTGACAATGGCATGCCGGACGCGCGGGAAGTGCCGGCCCCGCAGCCGGGTCAGGGCGCCCAGCTCGCAGGCCACAAAGCGCACCAGCACCTGGGCGCCGCCGGGGCCCGGGGCGGCGTCCACCTCGCCGGAGGCCGGCGGCACCACCCGCACCACCACCCCCAGGCCATCCATCATGTCTTGGCGGAATTCCCCGAGAAACAGGTAGATGGCGCGCATGGCGGCGGCCGGGCCGCCGTCGGCCAATTCCCCGGCCTCGAAGACCCCCTCCGGGGCCTCGTGCAGCCGGTGCACGGCCAGGCCATGGCGCCGGCCGCGCTGGAATTGGCCCTGGTACAGGGAGCTGCGCCCGACCCCGGACCAGGGCGCGGACATGATCCCATGCCCGGCGGGCCGGTCATCGGCCCACTCGCCGGCGAAGAAGCCCGACCGGGCGCACAGCTTCCCCTGGCGAGCCACAGCCCGGGCCACCCGGGCATCATGGTCGGCCGTGGTGTCGCCCGGGCCGAGGACCGGCAGCGGCGAGCTCCGCGCCTGGCCGAAGGCCATATGCCCGCAGCCATGCCGGCGCCCGGTGCGCCATTGGCCGGAATAGAAAGACCCATCGATGGACAGGGCGTCGCCCACGCCATGGGGCACGCCCCGGTGCCCGGGCCGGTCATTGGAGTACATGCCCTCCACGGCGCCCGGGCCGCTGGGTTCCAGGACGAAGGACCGGACGCGCGCGCCGCCCGGCCCGGGCACCGACCCGGGGGCCGGCACAATCAGCTCCCCGTAGTACGTGACCCCGGGGCCCAAGCGGACGGCCCCATTGACCAGCTGGGCCCGGCTCAGCTGCTCCTCGGACATGTCCAGGGCCAGGGCCGGGCCGCCGGTCGGGTTGAAGGCCGCCAGAAGCCGCGACACGGGCACCTCGGCGATGAAGGTGTGGCCTCCGGGCGAGGGGGGCCCTGCGGGTGCCGGCATGACGTGCTTATCCGTCGAGGCGTAGAAGGCCCTACATGGCGCGCATGGGTGGTGTGTGAGTGTGTGTGTGTGTGTGTGTCTTTGGGCCGGGGGAGGGGGGGA